CCTGTCCTGGAACTAGTTCTTGTAGACCAGGCTGGCCTCAGAACTCAGAGTTCCTCCTCCCTCTCCCTCCCAAGTGCCGGGATTAAAGGCGTGCGTCGCCACCACCCAACTACACTTTTTTAAGTTTGCTGATGTGCACAATCTTTCCTTTGAAATAAGTGGGGCTATCATGGTAGGGAATTCAGCAGCTTGACGGACAGCTGTCAGGTCCATCCCTCATGTCCAGTCACAGCAACAACAGCCTAGAGTGGAAACTGAACTTCTTCATCAGGACGGGAAGAGGGGAAGCCTGGATTGGTTCAGTTCCAGAGTTAGTCAAGCCTGTGAAGGACACAGCTGAAGAGTATGAGAAGGTGACAGGGAAAACTTTCACCTGCCATTTCTGAAGAGTCAATGGGAGCTGCCAATCAAGTAAGCACCTTTTCAGTGCGTATCAGGACAATCAATGGCTCAACAGCTCTCACAGATGCCTGCAGGAGACTCTCACTCAGCCACTAACGCCTTCATGAGACTCCAGACTAATAGAAACTGGAGCTAGGCGGTCACCTGACCTGCCCTGCCACTCCAAAGTCTTTCTTTGCCAAAGTCAGCTTGAGATGATCCTTAAATGATCATGCCTGCGGCATGTGAGATGCTCTTAAGCACAGATAGTCTAGTCTTACTGGATCAGATGTCAACCTGGTAGGGAGGGGTTCCTCCCACACCCATGGAACCTACAGCACACACATCTACCCCGGCTGCCCAAGTAGCATTCTCATCATTAGGTGGCAGGCCAGTTCTTTGTTCACAGCCCCTACAAAGAAGCAGCAGAGAGGCCAACGAGACATCATCCAAACGGTATAATTGTCTACTTGTGTAAGGTAGGGTAGGCTAAGCTAGTTGCATAGAGAGTGGGTGACTGCCAGGGCTGACAGCTCTAGGCACAGACAGCAGCGTCTATAGGACAGAAAAGTTTAAGAATGGCTTGAGACAGATCTAAGTGTAAGACCAGCCTCATATACATAGTGAGGTCTAGGAAAACCAGCCAGGGCTACATAGAGAACCAAACTTTAAAAAAAAAAAAAGGAAGAGTGGGAAGGCAACAGGCAAGCAGGCAGAAAGGTGGGTCCCAGAGCAGAGATTGTGGAGATGTGAGACCATCAGGAACTGTGTAACTGCTGAAAGCTGAGATGAGAGAGGGGAGAACATGGAGGGTGGGCAGAGGAAGACACTGCAGGTAGGGGCTCCTGGGAGAGTTACTACCTCCAGGTGCTGAGGAGAAGGCCAGAGCTGGGGTCCTGGCACCTGAAGTACCACACTGCAGCAGTAGGTACCAGGTAACGGGCACCTGGCTGTAACAGTAAGAGCTACACGGGTTCAAAACCCAAAGCTTGGCACTCCAGAAACAAAGGGAACGAGCCTTTATCTAGTTCCAGTTTCCACATGAACTGGTATATGACCGTGTGGCAGCACCACCCAGCAGCGGTTCTCTCTCCTTATTTATTTCTGCATTGACAGGAAAATGGATTTAAAAAGCCTAGCAGACATAAAGATGGAAAGGGGAAGGATTTGCTGAGACTATTTCCACTATCCATTTGTGTAAACCATCCCTTGCTCTCAGAGGACTGGGAAACAGTAGGAAAGGCCCTGCCTCCCTTGCCCTTTGCTTATTTATCCCCATGCTTCAGAGTCCAGAACCTATGCTAAAACGGGGGAACTGCCAAGTAGAAACTCAGCTATGCCTGCAAGTGATGAGAATACTCACATCAAACAATCAAACATTCTATGCCAAACAGTCAATGCTGAAACAAAGTCCTAAAATTGGCAAAGGTAGATATCATGGAAGTTGCCTAAACTTTTTCTTTTCTTGCCATTTTCATGTGTGTGTGTGTGTGGTATGAGAGTATGCATGCGTGCAGGCACACGGCACAGATGGGATTGTGGGAAATCAGCCACCATGGCTCTTCTGCCACTGTCTTAACTAAGGTGGGGTTTCTCAGTACAACCCTGCTGCTGGTATATCTAGTTTTGCTCTGGGGATCCCCTGTCTTACCCTAAAGCTGGAATTACCAGGAGGGCTGCTGTATGCCCCATGAGGGTTCTAGAGAACCAAACCCAGTCCTCCATTCACAAAGCAAGTTCCTTAACCACTGAGCCATCTCTTCAGTCCCTAAATTTTTTTCTTAATGGGAAACAATAAGGGAGGGGATACAGTATGTGTGTGTGTTGAATATTGTTAAGAACACTATTAAAATATTTTTAACTGGGTGTGGTGGCGCACGCCTTTAATCCCAGCACTTGGGAGGCAGAGGCGAGTGGATCTCTGTGAGTTCACGGCCAACCTGGTCTCTCTGTAGCACATTTCAGGACAGTCAAGGTTACACAGTGAAACCCTGTCTCCAAATGTTTTATTTTTTATTTTTTTTAATATTTATTTATTTATTTATTATGTATACAATATTCTGTCTGTATGCCTGAAGGCCAGAAGAGGGCGCCAGACCTCTTTACAGATGGTTGTGAGCCACCATGTGGTTGCTGGGAATTGAACTCAGGACGTTTGGAAGAGCAGGCAATGCTCTTAACCACTGAGCCATCTCTCCAGCCCCCTCCAAATGTTTTAAAATAAACAATTTGCTTCCTAACTCCATTAACCATAAAAGACTACCGAGCGGTATTTATTTCATGGTTCTGCTATGGAGATGTTTATGATGTGTATATGCTTGCGTGTCCATGCATGTGTATGAGCAGGTGTCCATGTCCACACATGCAGAGGCTAGTCCACATCTTGCCATTTAAAACTATTTTCACTAGAAGATATATTTAAAACCTGAAGGAAACCTGCTTCTACTCTTACGTTTTGATTTAGTTCCAGTAAGACCATTTAAGAAAAAAGATCTTTACACAGCTGCAGACATGTCAAGTCAAATTGTTTCTAAATAAGGATTCTTACGAATAATAAGGACTTTTTGACATTTTACTCCAGAAAAATAATTATTGTTTTGCTAGCCTTCTTAGAAGGTCGCAAAATGGGCTGCAAGTTTACTGCATGAGGGCGAACACTTTCATATATATTTAAAGGAGTATAAGATTATTAAAAGCAGACACTTAGAAACTGCTTTTTCTAAAAAGCACTGACTCCTCCCCTCAGGCCCATGAGATAACGAAAAGCACAACGGAGACCTGGCACCTCTGCCTTTGCTTTTCATCTGTCTCCTCGGGCATTTCACAAAGCATCAGGATCCCAAAGAAACCTACATCTCTCCATCTAAGTCTAAGTCAGACCCCCACCCACCCACCCACCAAGGGCAGGTGTCATGGTGGTGAGGCCATCATGAGCAGGAGAAATCATCTTCAAAGAACCAGATTAGTCCCCTCAGCAGCGAGGGGGATAACGCCTCAGTGAACCATGAGGGCTATTTGTACACTGTGAAGATGTATTGCTATGATTGGTGTAATAAAAAGCTGAATGGCCAATAGCTAGGCAGGAGGTATAGGCAGGACTTCCAGGGAAGGGAAGAGGAGATTAATTCAGGCATATGGGGGACACCACGGAGATGCGAGATGTTGAACATACAGAATAAAACACACGGGAAAGTCACATGGTAAAATGTAGATTAATAAAAGCAGATTAATTTAAGTTATAAGAGCTGGTGAAACAAGCCTAAGCTAAGGCTGAGCTTTCAGAATTGATAAGTCTCTGTCATTATTTGTGAGCTGGAGACCCAAAGAAAACTCCAACTGCAGGACCAGCCTGTAAGACCTGATCTGAAACAGTGATCTAAAGGGCCATACCTTGGCCAGGACTGCCTAGCCATACCCACTATCCTGCGCTGTCTTCCTTTATTAAAAACTGACGCTCCTGTCAATAATTTGAAGATGAACTCGGGGCATCCTTTCCTCTCTGGACTGATGGCATCTCTTTTCTGTTTTCTACCATCACTGATCTTCTACACTGGAGTTATTAAATGACTTGATGGGGCTGTGGGAGCTGATATTCCTGCCCTAAAACTCTGGTTGCAGATTGTTCAATAACAGGGTCTTTAATCCAAGTTTTGGGGAAGCAGAGGCAGGCAGATCTCTTTGAGTTCAAGACCAACCTATAGTACATAGCAAGGTCCAGGGCGGCCAGGACAGAGATGCCAAAAACTCAAAATAGAGAAACAAAAAAAAAACAAAAAAATCAAAACGAAATCTTTTCATTTCTTTTTCTCTTATTTTGCTTTGCTATGAACAGACCCACTTTAGATATATTTATTTCATATTAATCAACATAACAAAGGAAGATATTAAAACAAGACTGTAATGGGCCTTACTTATCAACTCACTAAATAAGACAACCATTCATTTCTCCTTTAAAACAACAGCGTGCAGTTGATTTTTTGAAAGCAGGCACAGAAGTCCAAAGGGAAACTAGCATTCATCTCATGTAATTAAGCATTCAACTTGCCAATCTGTGCACAGCCAGTGATTTACCAAGCTGATGATCAAGCAGAGGTGAGGCAGAGCAGCAATTCCTAAGATCTATGCTTACGGATGCATGTAAGGACCTTAGCTTCATCAGTTTATATTCTTCCCACAGCGCACAGAAATCTATCCATACCCAAGGCTGTTAAACCGTAAATGTACCTAGAAAGGCAAGGCGCTCCATCTGCAAGGTCCTAAGGAAACTCAAGTAAATAGTGTTGTTTGCCTGACTTGGTTTAGAACCGCAAACAGACACTAAGTCAGGAGCGGTGGCCCATCTTGTCATGCCTCCAGTTCAAAGGTGAAGGCAGGAAGGTCGAGGGGGCATGGGAGGCATCGTGGCACACACCTTTAACCCCTGCATTGAGGCTAATCTCTGAGTCTAAGATCTGCCTGGTCTACATAGAGAGTTCCAGGACACCCAGAGTTATTTATACAGAGAGAACCTGTCTCAAAACAACGAACAGAAAGACTTATAGGCTTAGCGTTCAGCCTTAAACGTCCCTCTCCATCCAGCCTTGCCTGCTGGATAGGCTACGGAGAATGCTGGTACTCACCAGTACAAAGTAGTATGCAGCTAGCGCCGTACAATGGTGAATAACAAAAAACTTGTCGCCGATCACTTTCCAATTCAAAAGGATAATCAATAAATCTGCATGAGAGAAAAATGAGATTTCACATTAAACGAAAGCTTCTTGGTTTTATGAGCGTATTAACCTCATTGTCTGGTAACTCTTAGCTGCCCATTCTGACAATACTAGTATTTATTTTTGTTTGTTCATTTTTGAGAGAGTTCATGTAGCTTAACTAGCTTCCAATTTGTTATGTAGCTGAGCTTCACCTGGAACTCCTGATCCTCCTATTTCAGCGCTGGGATTGCGGACATACATTGCGTTACCATGCCCTTAACAGAAAAAGAAAAACCTAGTAAACCCACTAAGAACTGTTCAAAAAGCCTACAAGTAGAGAAGGCACCACTTTCTCATTAAGAGACTCGGTCTACATATTCTGACTCAGTTCAGTTTAACAAAATAGAAACTGCTCAGAATATTCACACAACTATTTTCTTTAGCAAATGGTTGACCATCAAATGTAGCCGGGGAAACTGACGGTCACCATGGGTTCACACTTGTGGCATTAGAGCTTCTAGAACGTAAGAGATTTCATTTTCAAAAACAAAAATTACTAGCACAAAACTAGATATAAACATCTTGAAAGAGGGCTCAAGCTACAAATTTTAAAGAGAAACTAAATACTATAACTAAGAAAAATAAGAATATCAGTAATTAATTTCTTTCAATATATCCATCTTCCCTGTATGTTTTGGCTGCTTTGTCACAAGCTATGACGATTTTGTAGCATATTCTATAGAGACTGAGATGGCCTTACTTTGTGTGCTCAGTGTTTTACAGATGGTTATCTTACTTAGGAGAGTCTTAATAATTTTATTCTGTACACGATCCAGAGCTGCTGAGGTGGTATCTCGGTACAGCGCCTGCCTGGCATGCATAAAGCCGGCAGGCCTGGTCCTCAGCACCACAAGCCGCACGGTGGTGCCTGCTTGTAATATCGACAATTTTAAGTTGAGGAATCTAAAGTCAAGGTTATCCTTGGCTACATAGCAAGTTTGAGGCCAGCCTGGGCTACAGGGGACCCTATTTCAAAAACGAAAACAAGCTAACACAAACAGGATTGTCTGAGAGTTACTATTCTGTAATGACAGCATCATTGACCCAGGATGTGACACACTATGAATTGTGTGATCGTGTCAAAGACACTTTCTGTCAAAGGAGAAAATCTTTTCTCAATTTGTTGACAAGTTTCTTTTTTAAATTCAGTTACCAAATAATGCAACAGACTATCATTACTCTAAAACCTACCCTTTCCTCTTAAAAGAGTTACTTATCTCAATATAGTTATTTTGTTACAATTCACATCTTCATGGCACACAAATTTTCTATGAAATTCATCCCTTGTCTTTATCATTGTTGCATCATGTTTTATTTTGACTTTTATTTTCTTTCAGTTATTTACTAAGTTGTAGAATTATAAAATAGGGTTCTAATATAAATGTCCAAATCGTAGCTGACCTCTTTGTTTGATTACCCACAAGACAACCCAAAATGTCTGTAATTGCAGCTAAGATGGCATATTCTCTACTTCCCTTGTCCTCGCTGTAGAAAAGGCCAACCCAAACCCCACCCAACATGAGAAAAAATGGAGTAGAGGAGAATGTGGAGTCAGAGTCCACATCTTAACTGATCATGTCTAGACAGCTTACATGTGCAAACAAAAAATCATGTCTACTGGAACATTCTTCAAGAGAGAGCCCTGGTACAGGCATCACTAACTTTATAGTAATTATACTAATAGCTCTTCAGCAAAGAGAAAGGCCACTGTTTTGCTTCTGCTTTTTTAAGTGTGAAGGCCTCTGTAACTCAGTCCTTTCTTGATCTAGAAAGCCAAAGGGTAAGTTTCAGGCCTGCCACCATTGAAGGTTTTATTTTTTTTCGCTGTACAGATCCTCAAAGCTAATTTTCAAATAAGCCAAAAGCATAAACAATAGATTTTTGCATCACTCCATGAGTAGTTTAAAAAGTAATGAGCAATGAAAAAATGCTATCACATACCAGAAATGAGGTAGCCTGAAGCAGTTGCAATATTCAATTTCACAAGCATTGGATCACCCCTATACATATTCAAAACAAAACAGACAAAAACCCACATTATCTTCTTAAACACATGAACTGATTCATATGAACATATTATCTGATTTATTGAGACAAGGCTTCACAAGGTCCAAGCTGGCCTTGAACTTGCTAGAGCCAGCCTTGAACTACAATTCCTGTTTCCACTTCCCCTGCTAGGTTCACAGGGTAGAAAGCACATCCAACACAGTAACAACTGTTTTAATCAGAAGACCTGTTGTCCATACTTCCCATAGAGTTTACTCGAAGGTTAAACTGCCTCTAGAATCTTCCTGATGACCAATCATTGATTCTCGGCATTTAAATTGGGCTGAAATCTTTAGGAAACCATCTAACATCAATCTACACTGAGGTTTGCAGTGCATAAAACACAGCTCCTAAGGATGGCCAAGGGCAGTCTATGTATTTTCTAGAGTGCTCAGAACTATTCCAGGAGCTCCAAATCCAGGGCATAACAGTGTGTTTGTGCTTTAAAGGCAGAGGCAGCACCCAGTTTCACTGCACTTCTGGAGGAAGCCTGAGGGCCCACTGGCCTATGGGGAAGTGGGTCACTAACAATTCTGGACTCTATTCTAAACCTATCTACAAACAGTCTTAGAAATGCGTCTTCATATGACTTGTTCACATATGGACTGAAATTGAATTTTAGATGCCGATTTTTAAAAATTCCTTACTTAGAATCAGTGACTCAAATAAACAAAGAAATCATCTATCCCACCTTTGATTTTTGAGACAATACAGTCCTATCAATATTACTCTACTGAGGATGGAACAGATTTGCCTATTACCTGATAATGTGGTCAGAACAGGACAATTTGACCATGGTATTGTGACCAGGTTCACAGATGCATATCAATATAAAGAATTTATTTAAAAATTTTCTATCTAGTTTATTATTAGTAATATATCTGAGTATCATGGCTATGTGAGTATAGTTGTGTGCACGCCAGTGTGTGTGTGTGTGTGTGTGTGTGTGTGTATAAAGGACAACTTTCAGGAGTCTGCCCTTTCGGCCCTCCATTCATGTGGGTTCCAGGGGTTAACCTCAGGTCACCAGGCTTGGGCAGGGCAGGGTGTAACCTGCTGAGCACCCCACTAGCCTAGGATGGGCACATATTTGTTCCACTCCATCTTTCATGTGATTTGTAGTATGTGTTATTTTAAAATTAACACAAAACAAAACTGGTAATAGCTGAACTAAAATGGAAATGCAGAAGAAAAGTCACATTTTCGTCATACATTGTGACCTGTAAATAAATGCAATCCAAGAAAACTAGACCTGGAATAAAGCATAGACCCAAAGGAAAAAAAAAAACAGCAAAATTTATGTTAGGTTAAAGTTTACCAAGGCAAAACCTGACCAAGAAGCCACATCTATTTATTTTTTCTCAAAGGACTTGTTCTGTTTACAATCATGTGAGAAAAATAAATATGGGCGAATTAAAGGTACAGTTTATGTAGATTGAGAATAAACAATCTGGTCAAGGTATGAAATATGCTAAATTGAGTTATTTTGGGAAAAACATCTTCCTAATGGAAATGAAAATGAATCAGCTGGTATGATCCTAAAGGGATAATTTTACACTTATGGCAGGGGGTCATATCACAGCAGTGGTCCAAACACCTGGTTAAACACAGTCACCTCCCATCAGTACTTCCCACACCTACTTACTCCCTTACATTGAACTGACCTAACCCTTCCTAAGTAGCTCTAGCAGTGTGCAAAACTTGCGCAATTGCAACCATAAAGTGTCCAGAAGAGCTGCCTTCATGTTTACCTTAGATTATGACATGTGCTAGATCCATCACATTAATACTAAGTGCTTCCTGTGTGATTTTAATCCCTCTCGCATGGCCATCTCTCATTTCAGTTCTTTGGCGGCAAACAATGGGCCTCACACAAGTTTAAAGGCAAACCTTTAGTGGCTACCCCAGCTGACTGTCCTAGCTCAAAGATGACGCTGTTTTTCTCACGACAGTGTTTGCAATAACGTGGTTTTGCTCAACTCATCATATTCTCTTTGTTTTAGGTAACAAATTGCAATATGAAAGCAAAATGGCCCTCTTTGTGTTTGTGTTCACATCTAAAATCATTTTAATATAACTGGCTGAAGTAGGACTGACTATAAGCACTTTAATAAGGCAGACATCAAAAATAATCGATATGTTTTTAAGTAATGCAAATGAGGCTTCTATTAATAATTCATAGCAAAGCATGAGTCAAAATGAATAACAACTGGGAAAGAAACAGCTTACCAGAGTGGATCAGCTATAGTAGGCTCATCAAATAAGAAGAGGTATAAGCCAAAAGCCCCAACCAGCAAAGAGTGGCATGTAGAAACTACCCTGAAATGAAACAAGGCACACACAAAGCTCTCAGATTCCTTGCAGCCAATGACTTGTTCCTCTAAGACATTTTTCATCCTGAAAAAATGCACACCTTGGAGCATTAAAGCTAAACATGAAAGAGTGCAATCAACGGAGGAGAGTATATCTGAGGATGGCTAAACACCGTCATTTAAAGGCGACAGGGGCATGACTCAGCAGCAAAGCCCTCACCTACCACGTATAAGCCTCTAGGTTCATGAATCAATAATTAAGGGCCCGGGGTGGTGACACACACCTTTAATCCCAGCACTCAGAAGGCAGACGCAGATGGATCTCTGTGAGTTTGAGACCAGCCTGGTCTACGTTATCTATAACAGCCAGACTTTTATGGTAGGACCATGCCTTAAGAAACATAATGGTAGTAACAATGATGATAATGATGTATATTCATTTAGAAATTATAGGGCCACAGCTTTATTTTCAAATGAACAGGTTCTACAGTCCCAAGTGAATCGTTTCTCTCTGTTAACAGTCTTGCCTAAACTGGCACAGCTGACAAGGTTACCACCCTGTGCCCCCACGTTCCATCCACAGCAGCTGAGTTGCAGGAGAGTGCTCGCATTGCCACCACCCCGCCTGCAAACACTGCAGCTAAGTCACTACACAGGTGGTTCCCACTGCTATTCAAAAACCTCTGAGAGGGAAGAATAACCTCTCCTGAACTCCTGCAGAGGGATTAGTGACCACGCGTCAAAAACGTTTCCTTCTCAGCTCCCTCCCAAGATGGTTCAGCAGGTAAAAAGCACCTGCTTGCTGACTCTGAGTCCTGGAGAACCTGAACTTAGTTCCCATGGCCCACATGGTAGAGGGAGGGACTCTCCTGATGTCCACACACATGCAATGACGTCTGTGCCCACAAACATACAAAGATACAGAATGCATAAAAACTTCTAGGTTTCCTTTTGTAAAATAAAATCTAAGTTTTAAATTTTGTTTCTTACAGGCAGGCTTCAAGTGTTAGTCTTCATGAAGTGTTAAACGGTAGGCGAAGTATGCTAAGTGCTCAGAGGACAGAAATGACATTTTGTCAAAAGTTCTCACTATGCCTAACAAGACATGCAGAAACAGACGCTAGGGACGACCCGTCAGTCTGGATCAGAACCTTCATTTACACAGCTGAGTGCTGTGACGGCATTGGGAGGTGGAGGCAGGAAAATCAGAAGGCTATCCTGGGCTACATAGTGAGCTGCAGGCCAGCCTGGCATACGTGAGACTCCGTCTCAGAAAAGCAAAGTAACAAAAACCACCCCAAAAGTCTATACTTGCAGAAGCTGCTGTTGGTAAACACTTGAGATTTTTATCTTTGTAAGACCATGGTCCTGGAAAAGCAAAAATGCAGATCCTCTAGTAGCTAAAACGAAATGCCAAAGGGAAAGATTTCAAAGAAGAGTTGCCTGCTGTTTGGAGCATATGTCAAGGCTGGAGGCTGAGTTTTCGGACATAAATATGTACTTCCAGCCTGCTTTCCTTTGTACTCTTTATCCCTAAGTTCCAAGTATACAAGCTGGAGCAGGAAGCAGGCAAGAGAGAGACGAGAAAAATGCTATTCGAACAGCTAAATGAATCTCATATGAGGCCAGATTCCTTCCTCGAAGCAGAACTTGGTTTCACACGTTATAATTTCCTGCATCCCAGAACAGTGATGATACTGAATAACGCAAAATAGTTTCCAATTTCATTTTCATCTCTGCTTCCATTTCTCGGTACCCGCCCTATTCTTTGGTTTGCAGCTACACAAGATTCAGAAGCTTCCACATATTCTAACCACATTGAAAGAGAGACAAGAAAAGGAGTTCAAAATATACCCAGAAAATCTATATCTCTCCCACTCGTCTTTCTCACCAGTTTTTCTGTCTACAAATGCTAGAAAAGTTTCTTTGTTTTTAATAATGATACATAGGCTGAAGGGATGGCTCACTGGCTGCTCTCCCAGAGCATGGGAGTTTGATTCCCAGCACCCACGTGGGGGGGTCAAAACCATCCAGTCCCAGGGGATCCAACACCCTTCTAACCTTCACGGGCACCCACGGTGCAGACATAGATGCAAGCAAAACACCCATACTGTATAAAATAAAATAATACAACTTTTTAGAAAGAATAAATCTAGAAGGATCTAAATCATAATTAGAAATTCATGATAAGATATAGACTATACTCTCTGCCCTCTGGTCTGTAGAATTCAATCACGCTGCAGATGGCTAACTCGCACAGGCTAATATTCACAATCCCAGAAATGTTTTCTTTTGTTACCACCACAAAAGGATACGTGTTTGTTGTGAATTTTTCAGAGAGGGGTGAAAAACCAGTTGGAGTCTACTAAATTTTCCCAAACTTACATAGAAAGTGGAGAAAAAAACACCCCTAGCATTTTTCGTTTATGTGTATGGATGTTTTGCTTGCATGCATGCCTAGTGCCGGTGAGGGCCAGAAGAAGGTATCAGATCCTGTGGAACTAGAGTGACAGAAGGTTGTGAACTGTGGTGTGGGTGCCAGGACCTGAACCCAGGTCCTCTGGAAGAGCAGCCAGTGCTCTTAACCGCTGAGCCACCCCTAGTCCCACCATCTTCTGATGTAAGAATTCTTAAACTGATCTTGTGTGGGATCTTGGCTTTCCTTCTACTCCTAAGATCCAACAAAAAAGACTTAATTATTTCATAAAACTATTTTTAAGTCAATCATATTTTCAGGGTCTTACCTTGAGTTCCATTCGATCTTCTTGTCGATGCTAAGATTATTATAACCTGTAGAAACTTTGGCTGAAAACCAGTAACTTACAAAATGGAAAAGAACCTGGAAGAGGAGGAAGCTGCTACAAAGCGTGCCGATGACCACTTTGGTGTTGGCATCCATAGCTCTTCCACCTGCAGAGAGAAAGGACAGCTCTGAGTTGTTACTGCACGATAAGCCTATAATATTTTTTAAACTTTAACAAATATACATTTATTTTAGTATTTTAATAGAAATAAGAATATAAGGAAATTTCAATCCAAGGAAAACAAACAAGAAGTTGTGAGCCTCCAGTTTCTTCGCATTTACGATGTGTCAAGTGTCATACATTTGTTATTTAAAACAAAAAAAAATTTTTTTTTGAGACAGGGGTTCTCTGTGTAGCCCTGGCTGTCTTGTAGATCAGGCTGGCCTCAAACTCACAGAGATCCACCTGCCTGACTCCACAGTGCTGAGATTAAAGGTGTGCGCCTCCATGACTGTCACAAAAATACTTTAAGTACCTGAAAGGTACCCTATACCTTAAAGGTCTCCATATCATAAAAAAAAATCTAAACATTTTAACATCACAATTCAAACTTATCTTAGGAGTTTAACATTAGGAGAAAATTTTAATTACTACAATTGAAATTCTTCTTTTAATGACATTGTTTTAATTCTATTCAGGCAAATAGACTGATTTCTCTTTGACTCAATTTTCTCATCTAAAAACTGGGAGTTGATAGGGTAATTGCTAAAACATATTTAAATCCCAAATCACAGAACATTGCCCACAGTAACAAACAAACAAATAATAAATTACAAAGTTAAAAACTTATTACATTATGAGACACAATATTGAAGACAAAATTAAAATGTTACAAAGAAATAAATAATTAAAAAGAGCCATAGAGACTGAGAGATGGTTCAGCAGTGATGAGCCCTCACTAGTCTTGCAGAGGATCTGGGTTTAACTCTCAGCAACCCTATCTGGTGTCTTTTCAAGTATCTCCAATTTCAGGTCCAGTGTCTAATGCCCTCTTTGGGCCTCCACAGATACTGCACTACCATGCATAAACACACATGATATGCACAATTAAAAACAAGATTTTTAATCTTTTTTTTTTTTTTTTTGGTTTTTCAAGACAGAGTTTCTCTGTAGTATTGAACCATCCTAGAACTTGCTCTGTAGACCAGGCTGGCCTTGAACCCACAGAGATCCACCTGCTTCTGCCTCCAGAATGCTGGGATTAAAAGTGTGTGCTACCACTGCTCAGCTAAAAATCAAATAAATAAAGGAAAAACAAAACAAAAATCACATCACTGTGAATATTAAGTCATTGGTAATATTAACATTTTTCCATAGACCAAAAAGCTTCCTTTTTTTTTTAAAAAAAAAATCTCATTTACAAAAACTGTTTTGTTTTACTGTTTTTAAAAAAGGAGCTTTGGGTTGTAAGGACAGTTAGTGAAAAGAATAGCAATGTGCATACACACACACATATACACACACATACACACACACATACACACACACACATACACACACACACTTCAAGTATGTTTTCTGTGCTGCTGGGCACAGAAAGTCTTAAGGCCAGGCATAGTGGCACTGGTCTTCAATCCCAGCATCCAGGAGGCAGAAGCAGGTGGATATCAATGAGCTCCAGGTCATCTTGGTCTATACAGTAAGCTTCAGGACAGCCAGGGACATATAGCCATGTATATTCCTGAGACCCTGTCCTGGCGGGGGGTGGGTATCTTAGGTACACCCAGGCCAAAAAGTGCTAGGGCATGTGTGCATGTCCAGAAGCAGAGTGTTTCTGTCTTTGATGGGGCTGGTCCTCAGGGGAGAGGAAAATGAATCAATATATATTTTCAAGCTCCTAATTTGAAGAAATAAAGACACTTACTAAAGTCAATTCACCAGAGAAAGACCAAGTCATTGCCTGAGCTAGCAATAGCCCCACTTCATCCACTGCCAACCAGGACATCATAATTTGAATCAGTCTCCCATGGGGCTCCTTCTGACAGAATTCATATGTCTGGAATGAATTACGGCCCCCACCCTCTGTCACTGCCTTTCTATGGGTATATGCTTGGTGAAATTATTGACATTGCAATTCTTCTCTGTAAGACTCCATTAACTTTATTGCTCATTTGCTTTTTATCTCTTTTATTTCAATGTGTGCTTGACATTTAAAAAATTAGTTTGTGGCCTTTTAGCTTAGGCTTACTATTAACCAAATAATACATAAAAGTAAACTTTGTACATCAACTGAATGTGTTATCACTTGATTATGTGGGACATAAGGAAAAGCGCTTTCGAAAGGTAAAACAAACACAGCGCTGGCAGCCAGGTGGATGGCTAATTAAAGAGAATGGAATCAATGAGCAGAAGGTACTGAGAGTCTAAGCCAGCGGTTCTCAGCTGCGTGTCAGGGACTGTACAGCAGAGATCCTGTATATCCGATGTTTACATTACAATTACAGCAAGCCAACAGCTAACATTAAATTAAACGGAGAAAAACTCAAAGCCATCCCATTAAGATCAGGAACACGACAAGGATGTCTACTCTCTCCATACCTCTTCAATATAGTGCTTGAAGTTCTAGCAATAGCAATAAGACAGCATAAGGAGATCAAGGGGATTCATATTGGAAAGGAAGAAGTTAAGCTTTCGTTATTTGCAGATGATATGATAGTATACATAAGCGACCCCAAAAATTCTACCAAAGAACTCCTACAGCTGATAAACACCTTTAGTAATGTGGCAGGATACAAGATCAACTCCAAAAAATCAGTTGCCTTCCTATACACTAAGGATAAGGAAGCAGAGAGGGAAATCAGAGAAGCATCACCTTTCATGATAGCCACAAATAGCATAAAATATCTTGGGGTAACTCTGACCAAGGAAGTGAAAGATCTATTTGACAAGAACTATAAGTCTTTGAAGAAAGAAATTGAAGAAGACACCAGAAAATGGAAAGACCTCCCTTGCTCTTGGATTGGGAGGATCAACATAGTAAAAATGGCAATTCTACCAAAAGCAATCTATAGATTCAATGCAATCCCCATCAAAATCCCATCAAAATTCTTCACTGATCTGGAGAAGACAATAATCAACTTTATATGGAAAAACAAAAAACCCAGGATAGCCAAAACAATCTTATACAATAAAGGATTGTCTGGAGGCATTACCATCCCTGACTTCAAACTCTATTACAGAGCTACAGTATTGAAAACAGCTTGGTATTGGCATAAAAACAGAGAAGTCGACCAATGGAATCGAATAGAAGACCCTGACTTTAACCCACAAACCTAGGAACACCTGATTTTCGATAAAGGAGCTAAAAGTATACAATGGAAAAAAGAGAGCATCTTCAACAAATGGTGCTGGCAAAACTGGATGTCAATCTGTAGAAGAATGAAAATAGATCCATATCTATCACCATGCACAAAACTCAAGTCCAAATGGATTAAAGACCTCAATATCAGTCCGAACACACTGAACCTGATAGAAGAGAAAGTGGGAAGTACTCTACAGCACATGGGCACAGGAGACCACTTCCTACGTATAACCCCAGCAGCACAGACACTAAGGGCATCATTGAATAAATGGGATCTCCTGAAACTGAGAAGCTTCTGTAAAGCAAAGGACACTGTCACTAAGACAAAAAGGCAACCCACTTACTGGGAGAAGATTTTCACCAACCCCGCAACTGACAAAGGTCTGATCTCCAAAATATATAAAGAAATCAAGAAACTAGACCGTAAAAGGCTAATCAACCCAATTATAAAATGGGGCATTGAGCTGAACAGAGAATTCTCAACAGAAGAACTTCAAATGGCCAAAAGACACTTAAGGTCATGCTCAACTTCCTTAGCGATCAGGGAAATGCAAATCAAGACAACTTTAAGATACCATCTTACACCTGTCAGAATGGCTAAAATAAAAAACACCAATGATAGCCTTTGCTGGAGAGGTTGTGGAGAAAGGGGTACACTACCCATTGCTGGTGGGAATGCAAACTTGTGCAACCACTTTGGAAAGCAGTGTGATGGTTTCTCAGGAAATTCGGGACCAACCTACCCCTGGATCCAGCAATACCACTCTTGGGAATATACTCAAGAGAGGCCCTATCATACAACAAAAGTATATGCTCAACTATGTTCATGGCAGCATTGTTTGTAATAGCCAGAACCTGGAAACAACCTAGATGCCCTTCAACGGAAGAATGGATGAAGAAAGTATGGAATATATACATATTAGAGTATTACTCAGCAGTAAAAAACAAGGACTTCTTGAATTTTGCATACAAATGGATGGAAATAGAAAACAGTATCCTTGGGTGAGGTAAGCCAGACCCAAAAAGAGGAACATGGGATGTACTCACTCATATTTGGTCTCTAGCCATAAATAAAGGACATTGAGCTTATAATTCATGTTCCTAGAGAAGCTAAATAAGAAGGTGAATCCAAAGACAAATACATAGGCATCCTCATGAATATTAACCTTCATCAGGCGATGAAAGGAGACACAGACAGAGACCCACATGGGAGCACCGGACAGAAATCTCAAGGTCCAAATCAGGAGCAGAAGGAAACGGAGCACGAGCAAGGAACTCAGGACCACGAGGGGTGCACCCACACACTGAGACAATGGGGATGTTCTATCGGGAACTCACCAAGGCCAGCTGGCCTAGGTCTGAAAAAGCATGGGATAAATCCGGACTAGCTGAACATAGCGGACAATGAGGACTACGGAGAACTCAAGAACAATCGCAGCTGGTTTTTGATCCTACTGCACGTACTGGCTTTGGGGGAGCCTAGGCAGTTTGGATGCTCACCTTACTAGACCTGGAAGGAGGTGGGCGGTCCTTGGGCTTCCCACAGGTCAGGGAGCCCTGATTGCTCTTAGAGCAGATGAGGGAGGGGGACTTAATCGGGGGAGGGGGAGGGAAATGGGAAGCGGTTGCGGGGAGGAGGCAGAAATCCTTAATAAATAAATAAATTTAAAAAAAAAGAATGAGAAAAAAAAACAATTCACAACAGCAGAAAAATCACAGTTAGGAAGCAGCAACAGAATAATTTTACGGTTGGGGTCACCACAACACGAGGGACTGTATTAAAGGGTCGCAGCATTAGGGAGGTT